TTGTGTGTGTGTGTGTGTGTGAGAGAGAGAGAGAGAGAGAGAGAGGGAGAGAGAGGGAGAGAGAGAGAGAGGGAGAGAGGGACAGAGGGACAGAGGGACAGAGGGACAGAGGGACAGAGGGAGAGAGGGAGAGAGGGAGAGAGGGAGAGAGGGAGGAAGAAAGAGACTGATTCACACAATGGTAGACACTGCCAATATCCAGCTGTGGACGCCCACTGTGTGGGCTGGGTGCATTTTCATAAGTGCAGAGTAACAAGGGATCTTAGAACTTGGCAATCACTTTAGCCTGCTTCCTTCTCAGTGCAGAAATCTGGCTGCAGTTTTCCTGGTCAGAGGCCATCCAATTCCTGTTTGAACTACTCCAGTGACAAGGAACTTACCACTAATTGGGCAACATCATCCACTGCAAAAGGCCAGCCCTCAGTGTGACAGAATTTTGATGCTGAGCTGAAATCTACATCCCATTACCTTCCCATCCATCTTAATTCTAGGAGTTAATACAAATCATAAGCATTGTGTCTAGGGTAGCACTTCAAGAATTTGGAGAGAGCCACCATATCCCCCACCACTAGATTGCTTTTCTTGATACAATATCACTTTCTCATATGATACGGTTTCCAGACCTGGTCCCATCCTGCTGGTCCCTCCTCTGGGTGACCTAGTTAAGAGATGGCCCCAGAACTAAACCCTGCACTCATTTCTTGGTCCATAAAGCCAAGACTTTAGGAAAATAACTCTTCTATCAATGCATGAATTTATATTCACTTTTTTAGCTTACATCATACCTACAGCTTATACTGAGTTGCTAGTCAACCAATCCCCTTCAGGGATATTTTAAATATAATCAACACTTTTCAGGCATTCTCTCTAGCTTTTGCTCTGTGGTTGATTCTCTCCTCCATGAACCTTGATACAGGATCTTGTATTTATCCCTTATATGTTACAGGGCCTATTATTTCAGCCTATTGAGGTTTTTCTTAATCTCATTCCATAATGTTCTATTCCAACAAGCCCTCCTAGTTTTGTGTCTCTTATGAATTTGATCAATACTCATTTTAATCTCCATGCACATTTCTGATAAATGATGGAAAGGCAGGAGTGGAGCCCTGGGAGACACCATAGAGCCCATCCACTGTGTTCACACTGACCACTCAGCAGTCGTCCTGGGTTCCATTAGTCAGCACACTGTGACTCCACCCAACGGCATGCCCACCAAACCTACATCCCGTCCTCTCATTCACAACGTTAATAAGAGACATTTCTTTACCTAAGAGGGGTGACTCCATCATGACTTCAGCTCCTGACACAGGCTATTACATGAGGTATTTCAGAGAAACTTCTCAGCAGCCCACAAAAATCCCTTTAGTGGTCTGGGCGGCTCCCTGCCCATCAGGCCAGTTCTGCCAGTAAACACAGGCTTTAGCCACAAAGTCCTAGATGGAAGAATCCTTTGGCAACTCCCAAAGGCTCTCCTCAGACGTCCTGAGATCTGGGTCCTTTCATGACCTACTTTCATCCGACACCACAGGGAAGAGGTTACAGGGCACTGCCCATCAGCTGAAAACTTCCTCAGTGTCTGTGGCTGGATGGGAACACCCCCAGTCTGGCTCGAGGTAACCAGTCTGATTTGCATGACAATAAGAGGGAGCCCTTCTAGGAAAGTGCAGAGCTTGGAAGGCTGTGGAAGTCAACTGGCCCTTCAACTCAGATGTCCCCCAGGTTGTCCCCTCTGAGTTACTGTAAATTCACTTAGGATCTAGGCTCCGTGCCTTGGAATTACCTTCCAGGTTTCTCTAAGGCATGTATCTCGCCTTCTCAGATTATAAGGGCTGGAGGACAAGGGCCATGCTTTCTTTCCCTAATGGTTTCCCAGACCGTGATATGCATGCAGCAGACACCCAACAAATGTCTAGCATTAAGGCAGGTACCAACATTTCCTATCATGGATTCTCAGCCCTTCCAGAATAAGGAAACACTATCCAACATATTTTTTCAGTCCCTTATCTACCTGTTCTTCCCTTAAGGTTTTGCTTTTCATATGACCCACCTCATTTCCCCTTCAAATGCTCAGCATTAGAACTGTCCATAGAGGTAGCCAATGAAACTTCTCTGTTGAAGCGATACAGAGTCCTTTTCCAGAATCATTTTCATATATTTTGGTCCACCTCCTTTGCTTCAAACCATCAGTGACTTTCTTATGCCCAGAACCCTGGATCTTCACTTGAAAATCAAAGTGGATTATCCTGAGGCTCTAGGCTGAACAGAGGCCCATTAAAGGTGTTATAAATAAACTCACTGACCTAGTAGGCAGGGCAATGCTGTAAAGGAATGACTTGCTTCTATGTACTTCTCATTGCCGTTTAGTTTGATATTTTATCCTGGGACACATTTCACCTAAGGGGATAATGACCTTTGATTTGCATTCCTGGGAAGAAGGAAATCTGGGAGTTGGAGATACTGTTCCCATCAGGTACCTAGCATTATTTCTATTGAATAAAATGGAGACTTAAGATAGCACCCCTGCCCTCCAGAAGCTTCCAATCTCATTGGAAAGATGGAACACATAAACGTGGGTGCTAAGTATTCTGTATGAGGTTATGAAAAGTAGAGATGAAAAGTGTGAAACTGGGCTGGAAAAGCCCAAATCAAAGAATTCATGGTAAAGCAAAGTTGTCATCAGTACCTGGAGCCCTAAATAAAGTACATCAACTCTATAACAATCTCTTCTAGTTATTCCTAATAAAATAGCAGCATTTGAAGAATGTTGGCTAGAAGTGGTCTCATCCTGCCAGCTGAGAGAAGGCTGGAGATCATTTTCCAAGCTACAATGCAGGTTTGGACAAGTTCCCAGCATGCTCTAGGAATATATGAGAAAAGAACAGGACAGTGTGAGTCCTGAGAAGAAAACGTGAAGACCACAGTCTGGGGAGAACTTCCTCTGGAGCCCGCATAGGGCAATTTCAAGAGTCACCTTTCCTGAGAATTCATCTTGGGGTCAGCTGGAGGTTAAAGCACAGTGAAGGCTCCTTGGCCTGGACTCAAGGCAGCTCCCACTGCCCCTCGGGGGTAACATCCAACACGCTCCTTGAGGAAGGAGTCTTGGCTGCCTCCTCCTCTGGCCTAAGCCTCACATTCCCTGCACAGAAGAGCAGCACCATAAATATCTGCTAATTTCATTGTTTAAGTGGGGAACTTGTTGAAAAGATAAATCTGAAATTAAGCCATAAATGTAGAAGAAGGGTCACGAGCCTTTTGCCATTCCCAGATGCTGGCTCAGGTTAGGCTGGCAACATCAGAATCATCTGAAAGAGCTGGAAAAAATAACCTGGTCCCACAGTGGGAGGTTCTGATTCAGTAGGTCTGACGTGAGACCCCAGTGTCCGCATTTTAATAAAGAATGAATTGTACTTTTATACACAACTGGAACAAACAGTTTAGAAAATGTTTTCTCTAATTTTTTATCAATGTCAAGAAACTTTAATATACACACTATTTAAACCCATGATTCCATAAATCAGCTTCTTGTAAAAAATTCTATTGAAATTATAAAAAATGCAATCAAAGATTATGAACAGTATGATATGTATTATAATTCTATATATACTAATCTACACATGTCCAATAGGCAAGAAAGGTTAACTACATTATAGCAGGTTCATAAAAGAGAATATTTGGCAACTAATAAAAATAATGGTTTGGAGAATACTTGATAATATGATAAAATTTTCATGATATATAACATTAAATTAAAATTTTAGATATAAAACTTTGAGTCATAAGATTTCAACATTATAAATATCACCCAGTATCTGCATTTTTATTTTTTTATATATATCTTTATTGATTTCATAGAGAGGAAAGGAGAGGGATAGAGAGATAAACATCAATGATGAGAGAGTCATTGATCGGCCGCCTCCTGCACGCCCCCGACTGGGGATCGAGGCCGCAACCTGGGCAAGTGCCCTGACCCGGAATCGAATCCCGATAGCCTGTATCTTGGGTCGATGCTCAACCGCTGAGCCACGCCCAGCCAGGCCAGTATCTGCATTTTTAAAGCGATTCTTATCCCCAGCTAGATTTGGGAACAACTTGCCTATGGCAGCAGCCTCCAAGATGGACCCCAAGTGACCTACACCTCCTGCATTCATCCTCTTGGGTAATCTCTTCCCACGCTGTACATGGTTGTTTTGTGTAACCAACAGAATACAGCAGAAATGATGGGGTAGCACTTCCAAGATTAGCTTAGGAAAGACTGTGGCTTCCAAGTTTTGCTCCCTCTCTCTCTTTCTCTTTTGAATCACTTACTCTGGAGAAAGACAACCGCCAAGTCCTAAGGAAACTCAGGCAGCCTACCGAGAGGGTGTGTGGAGAGGACCACAGGGCTCCAGCTGACAGCCAGAAAGAAACTAAAGCCTGCCAGCAACCACATGAGTCAACTCGGGAGAGGATCTCCCAGCTCCAGCAGACAGCCTGACTGTAACCTCATCAGAGACTCTGAGCAGAATCAACCAGCTAAGCTAAGCTGATCCTGGAATCCTCACCCTACGAACTATGTGAGATAATATAAGCTTGTTGTGTGAAGCTGCAAAATCTGGGGGGATAACTTGTTATGCAGCAATTGATAGCTAATACATTTTCCTATTCCAAAGGGTAAAAACCCAAACATAGCTCAAAAGGCCTTTCATGCCCACCTTTCTAGCTGCATGTCTCATGACTCCAGATTCACATTTTTTCTTGAGCAGTACTGACCTGCTTATCCCCAGTTCACACCTCCACGCCTCTGTGCCTTTGCCCAAGACATTTCCCACTGATGCTCTTTCCCCACTGATGGCATTCCCTTCTCCAGAAATCCTCCCTCAACTGCCCCCACACCAAATCGGGTTGGCTTGGGTCCCCCTCCTTAGTGCTCACATACTTCTTGAAATCAGTGAACGAAAAGCGAGTTACATGTGGAAAAGAAAACGTCTACATGAAGGGGTCATCAAGAGCACATGACTTGCCTCTACGTGGTTGATCAATGAATTGTCGAATTTGAACCCAGGAATCCTTTTCTCACTGCACACCACACCCACGTCTTCTGTGTGCTGACAGTCGGTGACGCCCCAGCCATTGGAGGTGCAGGCTGCAAGGGTCGCCTCTTTGCCAGTGCAGTGGATATTGTCCAACCAGATGGGCCCTGAAGGAAGCCAAGAAGAGAAAAACCAAGCACTATGTCAAAGTAGGTTTGAATCTTTGGGGGCACCAAAGTCATACACAGAAAGAGAATTTTTCTCTAATCTTGGCAGCTGTGTGTGGTCATCAAGTGATTTTTAGTATATTAAGATATTGTATATACCTCTAGACCATCTGGATTCCCTTGCCAGAGGGATGTGGTAGATTGAACATGATCAGCGTAGAAATCAGAGTTGAGCCCGGATGTCACATGGTCTAAGAGAAAGAGCAGGGCTTTGGATACTAAGCTAGATTTTAATTCTGGCTCAGCCACTTAGCTATATAACCCTGGTCAAAGCCCTTTTATCTCGTCAGTAAAGTGGGGATAATAATGACACTTGAATCACAGGAGTATGTGCAGATTAGAGATAATGCAGGGCACGTGCCTAGTTTATTGTTGGCCCATAGTTACTAAAAATGATAGCAATGATGATGATGATTTTAGGTACTGACTATGGCACAAGCCAGACTCACCTTCCACCTGTAGCAGAGGCTGAACAGTGACCCCTCAGGGAAAGTCTAAGCTATCATGAGGAGACACTGTTATTCACACACTCCACAGATGCAGAGCGCTGGCTCAGAGAGGGCAATTCTGCAGGCCACCCCCGGGGCCTGGTGCCCAGGTCTGGTCAGTGTTCTTCTCACTTCCTGATATTTCCATCCACTGGCTCAAAGACTAACCCACAGAGCCGCCTCCTTGCATTTCAGAAGTCAGGTGAAGGCAGGGCTGGGTTGCAGCGGGGCAATCAGCCTGGGAGGCCCTGTGCAATTGTGCTCACCTCCTGTGCCTTTACCTGATTTGCACTGAGTAGAGTTCTGTGTGCAAAGCACTAGAGGGTTAATCACAACGAGACACCACCTCACACCCATTAGGATGGCTACTATAAAAAAAAAAAAACCAGCAAATAACAAGTATAGGGCTGGGGGAGAGGGGATGGGGAGTGGCTGCTCAATGGGGGCAGAGTTTCAAATCTGCAAGATGAAAAGTGTTCTGGATATTGGTTGCACCACCATGTGAACGTACTTAACACAACCCAATTGTACACTGGAGGGTGGTCAAGATGGCGTGTTTTTAATGCTATGTGTATTTTACCATAATTAAAATAAAAAAATTTTAAAGTGCTACAGGGTTTTTCAAATAGTGATTTTTATAAGTGCCACTACAAAATGAAAGGAAACAAAATCAGGTAAAACTGTCACTTTTCTTAATGGCTGCATGTAGAACTTTATAGCATAATGGGGTCAGATACCCTGAGTTCAGATTCTCTCTCAGGCTTGGGTGCTTCATGGCTAGTCAGCTACTTAAACAAGCCTGTTCCCCATTTCTCAAGTGAAAACAATGATACCCAACAAACAGGTTGCCATGGATATGCAATGAGCTAATCTTGTTACTAGTACAGGTCAACCTCCCTCTCCCCTTTCTGACCAGGAAGTCAGAAAAACAATGAATACTGTTGTTTGCATGATGTCAGAAGAAGCAGATAAAAGCAGTCCCATTGTAGAGATGAGAAAACCAAGAAGGCCCTGAGGCTCTGAAAGGTCAGGGAGGGACGCAGGGCCAGCCTCCTGACATCGAGGCCCTGATGAAATGTGTCCCCTGTGACAGATGGCTGGTCAGCGCTCCAACGAGAGTGCTTTGGAAGCACGGAGGAGAACAAAGAGCTATTGAAAACATCTGGGCTGAGGTTTTCCAACTGGTTTCTCAATTTGGCCTGGTTTCCAAGCCATCGAGTTCCACTGAAACACATGCTCCCTAACCGATTGCTGTTTCAACAACAAACCAATGTTTGTCTTGCTAAGTAGCAGCAACGGAAAAGACCCTCCACGGTTGATGCGGGCCTCTTCCTTGGAATGTTCTGTAGCAAAGCTGCTGACGGGACAGAGGTGGTGAAAAGAAGCAGCACCCTTATTCCATCTGCAATGAGAGGAGCCACCCTCGCTAAGGGGGTGAGGAGCCAGACAGCACACAGCTAAAGGAAGCGTAAAGAGCTAAAAAACACACTCCAGGGCCTGCTTAACTTCTCATAAGGAACAACTGAAATTAGCCCCTGGAGTGTTCCTGGGAACGAACCTACCTCAAAGAACTGCTTCCTTAAGGAGCTTCAATTCACCCCCAATCATTCTACCCTCTGTATATTCTCACCAGTTATTTTTTTCTTAGACGGTGGAAATACAAATTTCTACTTAGCCCAAGATACCATCGCCATGCATGGTATTCTTGAATGGCCTAATTTCATGACAATTTTTTTCTGTATGCTCAATGCCTCTCAACTAGACTGGCCTGATTCCAAAGGAGCCAGCTCTGGCTCTGTCCACTGGGAGGCAGGGTGATTCTAGGCACAGTGCAATAGATGCCATCGCAGAGTTGCCAGGAAAGTGGCACCTGGGACACATATGGGACTCAAAACCAGGACACAAAAAGCCAGTCAATCAGAAGCAAAACTTCGTCTTACCCTTTCCACTCCTTTACTCTGATGAAAGGAGAAGGGATGTATAAACAAATTAACAGACCATTCAGAAGAGGAAGATCATAAGTGAATTTCTACTTGAAGGCCAGGACGTTCCCCTGGGCTCTGTCAGGGAAATGGAAACTGTTCAAGTTAGAATCCTCGGGGCCTCACTTGGTCATCTGCTGGCTTTGTCACTCTGATCTGTGTTGGGAATCAGATCTGATCTCAGATCTAAAGACAGGCAGAGGAAAGCAACTGTCTTAGGCTCAGGTGGTTGTGAGACCCACCCAGAGGGTGAGCAGTGGAGTGGGGCAGCTGTCCCCTCTAGAACCCTCTAACAGGGCTGATGATTTCCCTGAGCTCAGAGACACTTTGGGAGAAACTACCCATTGGTAAGCCAGGCTGGAAAACCCGGGAACTGTGGGGGCTCTCCCTGGCTTCATTACTATACCTTGAACTTGAGAGGAGAAGGTGACAGTGAGCACTCCTGGAGGGGTGGCCCCTGAGGGGCACAGCTACAGCATTCCCGGCTCACCTACAGAGCTGACGCTCAGGTTCAGCCCTTTGGGAACACACCTCAGGGCCCTGGTTGCGTTCTCTGGTCACTATGCCAAGTACTGTTTGCTGGCTGTTCTTAATATTCTCCCAAATTGACATGAATCAATCAGCTAATATTTACTGAGTTCCCACTCTGAACCCAGTGCTAAAAATCCTAAGCTGATGAAATCAAATACATTTATATTTAAAAGGTCTCTCATGATGTAAACCGAGTTCCACATTATGCAGACAGCCTGATCCTTAAAGTCTTGGAGACAGGCCAGTTAAAATTATTTTAGCATCGGTTTCTCCCTTCCTCTCTTTGATACCTCTTGATATCAAACCGTCTTGACGGTTTCAATATCCACACAAAGACCTTTCCAGTCCTCTTGGACTCTGTCACTCATCCTCCTCTCTCCAGTGACTTTCCTCCCCACTATGTCAGCTACTATCCCATGGCCATAGCTCAGACCTTGTCATTACCAATAATCACACCCCTCTCCCATCTCCATTTGTATCCTGTGCTGCATCCACGACCCCATCCCATCTTTTCAGCATACTTCTTCTAGCATTGCAATCCCAGCAGACCCACAATCCGTCGATCCCAGCTTGCGACTGTCTGCAGTACCTTCTATGGACCATGATTAAATTCCTCTGCTCCCTTGAACTTTCCTCCCTTCGTCAGACCTAAATGGCACAATCTGAGCCAGGTCACCACCTCTCTAGCCACCCCATGTCCACTGCCAGGCGGGTGAACGTGGGAAGGGAGGACCCCACCCATCTTGTCTGATGACAGGTAAATTTTAAGTTTGGGTAGAAATAAAATAAAGTTGCCATTGGAAAGTATTTGTTATGAAATATTTAGGCTTAGACAGCTTGGAATAGAAAACACCAAGTTGACGTTACCCCCGGATCGCTCAACTAGCAGAATAAACGGGGATGTGGGACTATGGAGAAGTGTCTGGAGTTTTGTAAAGAAGACAGAAAACGGGTTTAAAAGCCCAGCATTTGCTAACTCATCTTCGCTGCTCTTACCCTGGTCCCTGCTAAGGAACTCAGGGTCAGCGCCAGAGGGCATTTCACTCTAAGTGCGGTTACTCCAACAGGAACAGGATATACTCAGTTGCACAGAGGTGAGACGTGTACGGTATGGGATTTCCTTCTCCTATGATTTCTGGAATAACAGAAAGCCAGGGTTGGGTGGGACCATAACAATGATCTAATTTAATGAATCCCAAACCTAGCTTCGCATACACCACTTGGGAGTTTTTCAAAAGCCACAGGGCCTTAGACTCCAGTTCAGAAGTCATGGGTTAATCCCCCCAGGGGGTGCTTATGCCATCAGTGTGGCATTTCTCCATTAGTCCCAGGCAAGACTTGGGCAGTTCCGCTTTCGCCCAGCCAGCGAAGGTGCTTTACCAACTCAAGGAGGGCAACTCTCAGTTCCTGGATTTTTAAAACAAATTTTTTTTTTTTTAAATAATGCTCTTCACCCTTATCTACTTTCCCACTTAGGATCATAAACTGTGAAAGTTTCAAAAGTACTTGAGAGCCCAACTTCCAGATTGGGAAACTGAGGCCAGAGAGGATAAGCATCTTCCGCTAAAGGACAGAGTTAGTTAGGTCAGCAACAGGACTGAGCTCAGGTTCTAGGCTCTAACACCTCCCCTCCCTCAAAGCTCTGACCAAAAAAATTTAAATATATATATATCCAGGGGAGAAAGAAAAGGCCAACCAAAGTGAAAAACCCAAAGCAACTCTGTTCCTGCTATGGCCAAGCTCAAAATAGCATGTGAGTGTTGAACTACAGGGCAGGAGGGTGTGGAGAGTCAGGAAGCTCACCTATGGGCAGCCTTTGCGAGAAAGAGCAAAAGGAACTCCTTGGAAGGGCGAAGGGGAGAAAGACACCAGCTCCCCTGGCTGATACAGCCCCAGGCAGGCAACTCGCTCTCGGGGAGAGGAGCAGACTGACTTCAGCCCCCGCCTAAAGTCACCACCCAGTCTGGTTTGCCCAGGCTATCAGACTTTGCTGCTAAAACCAGGAAAGTCTGCGCAAAACAGGACCGCTGGTCACCGCCCCCTTCCCCAGCACCCTCCACTCCGGCCTTCTTCCCACAAACACAGAAGGCTGCCTAGATGGAGTATTATCAGGAATTCATACTTGACAGTAACTGCAGATTCCTTTACCAGGATAAGCGCATGCAAGCCCATTCCAGGGTTCCCAGGGGACACGAGCACTAGTTCCAAAGCACAGAGTGTTTACCTTCCCCCTTGCCATAGGAGGAGCTGGCCGTCCAGGACTTGGCCTCCACGTATCCCAGCTCCCGGCAGACGACGTGGGCAGCGTGGATGGAGAAGTCATCATCGCAGACGGTGCCCCACTGGCCTTGATAATACACCTCTACCCGCCCCTCGCTGTGCTTCCGCTTCTGTCCCGCCAGGCGTAGCTGGATCTTGGCGACATCAGAGGGCACCTGAGGCCGGTGGTACTCGGGAGCGGGCTGCTGGAAGTACTCCGGGTAGTGGTACTGCCAGTTCTCGTACTGTGCCACGCCCAGCAAGGGGCAGAGGCAGAGCACGGCCAAAGGGCTGAGAAGGCAGGCGCCTCCCCAACTCGCCATGCCTACCCTCTGGCTGGAGGGCCTCATGGAGGGCAGGGGGCCGTGGGCGCTTCTGGGTGCAGGCAGGAGTCTCCTAGAAGAGAGGAGAGATGTGGGTTACAGAAATCTACAAAACGTCCAGGGACTTCATACTCCTGTGCTTAGTATTTAAAGCCCTTCACATTCTAGACTCCAACCGCCTCTCTCCTCCCACCTTTCCTTTCGGCCAGAAAGCTCTGTGCACGCCCACCTCTTTGCCCCCCTATCTCTGAAATACTTTTCTTCATAAGGCTCCTGGCAGGAAACAAAGCACACTGAGACTTAATTTGAGGAGAGTGTTTTAAAAGACTATCTAGAGACAGGAGCAGAGATAACAGTAATACCCTACTGGGGCTGGCCACAGAGAAGAGCTGTTACCACCCCCAGGCTGGCAGCGCTGAGGAGGGAGTGGCTCAGCTCTGAGGACCACCTGTTTGGAGCTGTGGCCTTAGTGAAGGGTCTCAGAGCCCACCCACAGCAACAGAGGCAGGGGCAATAAATACCTGACCTTACTGTCCTCCTGTCCTCTCTCCCTTTCTGTGCCTCCTATTGGGCAAACCCAAACCCACTGATGGAGTCTGCATGGGTTGGCCTCCTGGGCACAGGGGATAGTGTGGAGAGAGGGCAGCAGGTTGGCAGGGTGAGCAGAGGGTCTCCAGCACTCTCTCTCTGTCTCCCCATCTCTTACACCTTCTCAGTCTCCAGGGCTCAGCTCAAATGCCACCTCCTTGGGCAACATCCCTCCTCCAAGACAGGACCATTATCTAGACATTCTTCTCACCCTTCTCAGACATTTTCATGTCCCCCAGCAGATCACAGGCTTCTTATGGGCAGGACTTCTCTGGCTCCTCCAGAGTGAATACTACAGGTTCATGGCCCTGCTTCTTGAATGAGAAGGTGATTTGTTCCAGGGCCTGAGTCGCTGGGGAAATGCTACACTGACTCTCGGGTTTTGCCGTGTAGGTGTCCTCCCTCCCTCTGGACGTTAGCTGACCTGGATGGAAGTAGCCTCTTCTGGGTGCTTAGAATAGCACGAGGAGGCTTGGAGTCTATCACTATTTGCTCACAGGCACATCTGAAGGCCTGGGGCTCTGCTTTCAGGCTCCAGGCCTTCAGACATACCAGCCGCACCTCTGATCATGGTATATCTTATGCTCTGGACCACAAGACAGCTAGGGACACTGAGTGAGAAGGTCAGTGGCAAAGCCCCTTGAACAGCTTGTACACAGGGCTTGTCCTTGGCTGAACTGTGGCTTCTGCAAGCAGCAGCCTCAGAGTGCAGCCTTCACGCACATCTCTCACCCTCGGTGGAGCCAAGGATGTCTTACTGACAAATCCATCCCTTTTCATAGATTCTGTCCCTGAGGGGTATAGGGACTGAGAGCAGCCTGCTCTTTGCACAGAGGGGAGGCATAAAGCTCTTTGTGGCAAAAGGAAAAGAGGCTGAGTGGCCTGTCATCAGGGAAAGGAGGGCTGGGCAGCAGAGTGGGGAAGAGCACAGATTCTAGAGCCAGATAATCGGAGTTTGAATCCTCATTCTGATACTAGCTGTGCAACCTTGGGCAAAATACTTAACTTCTCTGTGCTTCAGCCTCCTATCTGTAAAATCGGGACAATAATTGTATCTAGCTCATAGAATCGTTTTGAAGATTGAATAAATGACACCTAATAAACACTACAGGAGCATGTGATAAATAAAAATTTAAAGTTCTCAAGACCATGGTCACCATATCCAAATAAAGCCTGCCTCGAAGAGTTCCAGAGTAAGGTCAAATAACAATACCATGTGCCTTGGCTCTTTCATAATTCAGAGAGGGAAAAAATATTTTAAAGGGACTGCAGGTGTGTCTCATGGAAAAGGAAACAGACTTGGGATATGGGGCCCCCACGAGCAAAACCAGGACCAGTAGGTGGAAACTCATTGGTACATTTCATTTCAACCAGGTGCAGAGGGTTAGGCTAACCGTGAGGGAGGCAACCAATTGATGTGTCTCTCTCACATCAATGTCTCTCTCTTTTTCCTCTCTCCCTCCCTCCCTTTCTAAAAAAAAAAAAATCAATGGAAAAATCTCCTCAGGTGAGGATTAACATAAATAAAAATTAAAAAAATTAAATAAAAAATGTCCAAATTCCACCTGGGACATAGACACCTTTCAGTTTGGCATGTATCTACATTTCCTAGCTTCAGTTCCAACTACACTTCTCTCCCTGCCCCCACTCCAGCCCTTCATACGTCACCCATCCCATCAGATCAGCCAATATTTGGTTTAAGTTTTTCCATCTAAATCAAGGTACCTCCTTTCCTACCCCTCGCCTTCCCTCCCAGAAATCTAGGTTATGATCCTTCCCATTCCTCAAAGAAACCTCCCAGATTCTAATGAATGTCTTCTCTGCTTCCCTTAAAAATAGCATTTTGCTTGTGCTTTACACTGTTGTCAAGTCAGGCTCTACCAAGCCCACAGCCCCAAGGGGCAGAAGCCATCTCTTTGTCATTTACACACGGTACCTCGTGTTTCTGGCTTCGGCAGACTAGCTTGTAGATAGACTGGGCAAGAACAAACTGGAAGGGGTAGATAACATTCTAAAAGCATATATTTGAAGACACTGGAAACCTACCGTGGCAGCAAGGACTCGAGGGCCAAGAATCCAGAGGTAGGATGTGCAGTGAGGTGAGCCTACCCGCCTCTGCGTTTCCCCTCCAGGCATCTGCCGCCTCCAAGGCATTGGCCAATAGGCTGGGAAGCCAGCTTTGGGCAGCCTCCCAAAACAAAAATAGGGAGTTCAGGGCCTTCTAACAGGAGGCGGGGCTCTGTTAATCAGCCCCAGGCTTTCAGAGAGGAGGCCCCACAGGACTAAGACCAGAAGTGAGAGCACAGAGTTGAGTTCTATTGTTAGAAAGCTCTAAGGTCCACATACTTGGAATTCCCCAAGAGAGGAGAGAGAATGTAGGGAAGAACTGTTTGAAGAGCTAATAGCCAAGAATGATACAAAATTGATGACAGATTATCATCCCAAACGGTCTAGTTGACATAGAAACCACATCTGAGCACATCAAAATCCAGCTGCGGAAAATCCAAGCCAGGGAAAATCTTAAAAGCAGCCCGAGTGAAAGAGGAGTGTTACTTTCAAAGGAGCAGCAATAAGGCCAATAGTTGAACTCTTGACAGGAAACAAGGAACGAGGAAGGTGTTGGGATGACACTTTCAAGGGGAGGAAAGCGACAGCAGCCAACTGAGAATTCTGGAACTGCTGGAGAGAGAGAGAGAGTAAAATAAGGACATTTTAGGCAAACAAAAATGGAGAGAATCTATCAGAGGATCCACAAGATGTTAATAGTAAAAAAAAAGTTCTTCAGGCCAAAGGAAAACTGATCCAAGATATTAGTATGAAGGGTAGAGAAGGGGCAGCTATTGGGGTAAATCTCAATGAAGGTCAACCTTGTAAAAACAATAAAAATGACTCATGGGGTTTAAAATATGGGGTGGGGTATATGTATCATTGAAAGCACAGCAACAACAGCACAAAAGGCAGAAAGGGATTAAATGAACCGTGTTTCAAGGTTCTTGCCTTGTCTGGAAGTGGTAAAAGAACTATTTTCTATTAGAGGTCAGAAAGTCTAATAGGTGCATGCTGTAATCTTTATGTAATCACCATAAACAGAGGGGGAAAAAAGTGGAATGAACAGGGCAATAAAGGGAGGGGGGACAATGGAATTGCAAAAAATGGTGATTAATCCAAATTAAGGCAGAAAAAAAGTAACGCAAAACAGTTGTCACAATTAGAAAAAATAGTAAGATGGTGGATTTAAACCCCAATATATCAAGAATGACATTAGATGAGATAAATATTCCCATGAAAAGACAAAGATTGTCAGGATGGATTTAACAAAACAATATTACTTTATATTCCTTACAGAAGGCACAGAGGTTTAAAGTAAAAGGATGGAAAAAGATATTCAATGTACACATTAACCTAAGAAAGCTGGTACAAAGTCAGATAAAGTCACTTTAAGAAACATACTACTGTAGACAAAAAGGGACAGATGATGATGATGGAAGAGCTAATCTACCAAGAAGATAGAATTCTTCTCAATTTGTATACATAGACTCAATATGCATAAAATAAATATTGACAGACTTAACAGGAAAAAATTGAGAAATCGTAATCACAGTGGGAGATTCTGCATACCTCTGTCAGTAACTGATAGAAGCAGCAAAAAGATCCTTGCACTGAAGATGTGAGAGGCATGATTAACAAACGTGACCTAATAGACAAGGCTTTATCAACTGTATTCAGCAACTACAGAAGACAGATTCACTTCAAGTCCACTGCAAGATTAACCAAAATGGAACCAATGTTGTGTCATAAAGCAAGTCTCATCACATTTGATGAAATCACACAGAATGTGTTGCCTGACTATGGTAGGATTAAGCTATAAACCAATAGTAAGAGAATAGCTGGAAAATCCACAAATATTTGGGAACGAGATAAAAGGGAAAATAAACTATTACGGCATTCATTCACTTAATAAACACCATTATTATCCTCAGGAGGAAAATGAGGCACAGAGAGGTTTGACAACTTGTCTGAGGCTGCACTGATGGTAAGTGGCAAGCCAGGGTCTGAACGAGGGCAGCAGGCTGACCTGGGCTGTGTCCTCCACTGTGCCCTACCGCCCTGGGGCAGGTTCAACGCAGTCCAGCCCATGACTACTACCTCCCACTGTCTCCCTCAAAGGAGAACTACAGAGACCTCCAGGTCTTCTATTCTTATCTCAAAAAGAAATGGAAACAAGTGTTCTTAATCTCTGGACTTGCATATCTATAAACTGTTCCATCCATCTTCTTGGAGTCTCTAATCTGTGGGAATGGCCCGTGTTCAACTCCTAAATCTTTCTAGAAAAGTGCTCCTGAATTTTTTGCTTCTTTTGTAGGGACTGCTCCTACTCTTTACTCTGGGGAATTGTAAGTGATTGGGCCCAGCTGCTTCTCCCCTCTTTTAAAAATAACTTTTATGGGGTTTTGTTGTTGTTGTTTCTAATTGCAAAAGTTATAT